AATGGATGCAAGATGAGATCAGTTATCTATCGGCAACCAAACAGGCCGGATGGGCTGAATGGGCTCGTCTTGTTTGTGACCCGCCCCTCCCTCCCCTTCAGTGTGAGCTTGTCTGGATTTTGCCCTGCTCTTGTCTCATTTCCTTCAGCTTTCCCGTGTTATATCAGACCAGAATGTTCATTGTCGTTGAGTGAAATGGTGACACTCGTGCAGCTGGTCTTCCTAGGAGTCTAGATTTATTACTTTAAATGGGCAACATCTCTGAAAAGAGAAAATCTCATTTACAGAGATGTCTTTTCCAATGGGCACACAATCATAACGGGGTCCGTTCTGGCAGGTCCTGTACGTTTTGTGGGAAATCAAAGGTTCAGTATCTGACGTGTTTTCGTCTTTGCAGACCATGTCAGTTAATGGGTTTTTCTGTCCCTTTGTATGTGAGCCTGGGCCATGTGGACACGGGGCTGTGTGGTGTCGTGACTTGTTGCTCTGTGTCTCATTGGTGTTGCTCTGTCAGGTGACAGTGACAGCTTTCCTGACAGACCCCTTAATTCTCGGGAACTTTGACCTGTGAATTTTACCTGGCTACCTAAATGCTGAGGAAGGGATTTTAATGGGCTGGAGTCATGTGATCTGCGCTGCTTATCCTGACGGAAAGTGCTGTTTAACTCCCAGAAACTTAGGTCCCATCTGGCACGTTGCTCCACGCTGTAATTGAAAAAGCATGAATTAACACTTAAATCCCTCCTGAATAAATCCTAAACTTGTGAAAATGAACAAGTGAGTAGCTGGCACAATTGCTGGCACTGTGATTCTAAGCAGCAATTACTATTGAGCATTCTCTAACATAGAACACCTTCACATAGCATGAAGACATAGGCTAGGAGATTCTCTGATTTTGTGGTTGAAAGTACTGAGGATGACCAGGCTTCTGGGGAATTCGCCCCGAGAGGAACTTGCAGATTGCTTTTGGTGATGGTGGAAATGATTGACTGTTTTGTCAGAATTTGCAAAGGCTGCACCTTAAATGTAATGGAGAATGCGGCAAAGCCTGGGCTCAGCACAGGTGACAAGAAGTGCCGTGGTGGTCTGGGATTGTGCTAGTGTCAGCTGACTGCTGCCCGCAGATGGCACAGAGAGGGCAGCCCTCTCTCCAAGTCCAGCCCTGCCTGTTCAGCACATCCTGGAGCAGCACAGTCGGTCTTTGTGTCCGTGATCTTTAGATCTCAGGGCTCACAGTGCTCCTTGGGGCAGATGCTGCACAGTAACAGCCCCCAGGTATTCTTAAGTTGAACAGCTGTGCCCCTTCTGTCTAACTGTGGCCTAGTCTCCTGGTCCTAACTTGCTGTAACACTGGCTCTGCATGTGACTGATGTACCCGAGTGATGAGCTTCAGTGCAGGGGCTTTAACAATGTTGTTTACTGTATTTACACCACCTCTCATTTTCACTGTGCCTGGACCCTTCACATGCTGTAATCCTGCCCAGCCTTTTACTCAATTAAACAGGCTCCAAAGGAATCCTTCACAACTGGTCTCGGTGAACAATTGCGTGAGAACCCAGTGTTGAGACACAGCAGAGTGGTCTTTTTTTTATCTTGACAGTTTCACAGAGTACAGTGCTGATTCTCGCATTAAAAAGTTCAAAGAAAAAAATGGGTCCAAGATTAATCTAAATGTGCAGGCAAAAACATTTTGGTTTTCAGATTGAACTTGAAAAATAGCATGCCTTTGATTGGCTTTGACTTTCTAGTTATTTGAGCTGTTTCATATCGTGAAAGGCAAGAGCCAGTCAATTACATTAGATTAGTACTTGTGTGGGTGTCACAGCTGTTGGCCCTGACATTGAAAAGCTTAGAATTTAGACATCACAGCTTTCTTTAAAGATATCATCAGCCACTTTTTAAAGCTCAATAACATTACAACAAAGTGCTTGTTCACACATACAGTACAGTAGTTGAAACCCCCTGCAGTATCACTGAACATGGCAAGAAAAATGAAGGACTTTTCCCTGTTTTTTGTGAGTATGGCACACAAAGTCTCAAAGAGGTTGATTTTTTATTACAATTAACAAGTGCGATGAACCCCATCCTCACCTCACCAAATCAAGATGGGGTTGTTCTAAGGTGGTTTTGTCCTGCTCTTTTCTTGTCGTGCATGACCACGGCTGGCTTGTTAGGTCTCTCGAGATGCCCTGCAGGGGAGCACCACAGTGGTCTCTTCACAGCAGGCTGGCACAGGGCTTTTCCACGCCTATTACGATGGGATCAGCTATAGAGCAACTCTATTTATACCCTCTCTTTAGAGAAGGCGCCACTTACTCCAGACCTGCTGCCCATGAAGTGGAGGTCAGGTGACTGGGAGAGTTCATTCCAGGCAGATTGAGCCACTCAGAGCCTGTCTGGCGTTTACATAACTGACAGACCGCAGAGGATTCATGCCTGTGCCATATAAAAATAGCACAGAAGAAAGGGAAAAAAATCCTGGACGGGCTCCAAGTGACAAGTGATTTGGGCGTGCGTTAACAAAGGGAGGCAGTGGATAAGCAGATTGTCCTACAGGCATGGGAGTGCTTCTAAACTCCACGTTTCGCTTTTATAAGATTATAACGTGGAGAGCTATAGAACCCTTTTGTGAGGCATTGTGGCAGACAAGCCCTGCTCATGGGGCTTCTTTCTGCCTGTTTGTGAGGAGCGGCGCCTGTTGGAATGATGCGGGGGGGGGCGCCGGTGGCCCGATGTCCACATCAGCAGAAGAACAAGGGGGCAGACGCAACGAGCTGCCTGACCTGGCGGCCTTGGCAGTAACAGCGTCCAGGACTTAGCTGCTGCGTCACGCTGTTCACATTATTTCAAATAGTTTATATGCTCTTAAAGGTCATTTTAGAGTACGAGTAAGAAAACGATTGCCTTTCAGTTTCTACAAATTCCAAAGTACATAAAAGTAAAAATTCCACAGTGCAAAAGTACTTGTTTATACTGAATTAATGTCATAATGAGCGTTGTTGTTGTTTAGCACACACTTTCTGGGAAGAAAACGGTGGATTTTGAATGTTTGAAATTCAGACCCTTTGTGCCCTCCGGCAGTGTGTGACCCCTGTGTGAGCGAGCGGCTCCAGCTCTTCCTGAGTGTCCGGCACCTCTTCCAGAGCTGATTCTGGAAAAACTAAGGCTGTGCAGGAGGCAGAGGGTTAAACTGAAACTACAAAGGACTGACCTGCCAGGGAAAGGAGTTCTGGGAGACCCAGATAGCAGAAGCAGGGGCTCCTGGGTGTCACAGTATTGGCCAGAGAAGGTCAGAGGTCAGGTCCCTGAGGCTGAAAGGCTGGATAAGACCGGTCCGACACAGTATGAGCAATATTAAACAAAGACACTCTCTGATAATGACCTCAAAGGCAGAGGAGATGAGAAGCCACTAGAGGAGGGTTGATCTTGTAACCACCAATGTTTTTTTCAAATGACCAGTTTTGTATAAGCAGAGAACCATAAAACATGTACTCAGTTTTAACTCTGCTGACCTGCAAATATTCTGTCGCATTAATGCAAACATTTATGTTGACAAAGCAGTTTGACACTACAGCAACTCAGAATATGGTTGAAGAACAGCATTTATGCCAAGGATAGAGTCCAGGTGAACACCAGAGGAAACCAAGATGGCATTGTACTCACAGGTGTTATACAAACCTGTGACACAAAGAAGATCTGGGTCAGCTAAGAGCTGTACCACATCTGTATAGTTCTCCAAAATATATATAGTGTATGTATAGTTCTCATGTTATATCATGAAAATGCTGTAGGTTTTTACTTTCAGAACTAGTTCAGTCACAATAGAAGGATAAACTAAATAAAATCTGAAACAGTCACCTGTTACTGAAGCAAATGAACTTAACCAAGGTAATAACAGAAAAGGGAGTGGCATGATGGCACTGGGGTTAGCATTGCTGCCTTGTCTTTCTGGAGACCTGGGCTGCTTGCTACATGGATTTTGCATGTTCTTTCTGTGTTCTTGTGTTTTTCCTCTGGGTGCTCTGCTTTACTCCTGTAGTGTGAGTGTGTGTTGGTATCTGTGTGTGCCCTGCAACGGACTGGCGCCCCGTCCAGTCTGGATCCATTGCGTCCTGGAACAGGCTCTGGGCCACCGTCACCCTGTATTGGATAAGCAGTTCTTGAAATTGGTGGTGATAAATAACAAAATAGTCCGCTTTATTGCCAAACCAACCCTTTGGGTCATTAGAAATCTTTGCGTTCTGTTGCATAACAAAGATACAAAAAAAAAGCATCAATAACATACATATGCAAAATTCAATACAATGCTCGGTTACAGATTTACCAAAACACACCTTCATAATAGTGTTGAGTTGAGAGACCGAATAGCCTCAGGATAGGCGCTCTTCCAGAACCACTGTGTTCGAGATTCGATCCCTCAGAGCCTTCTTCCTGGGGGAGGGAGCTCAGGCAGGGGAAGACCTGGGTGGGAGTGGTCACAGCCAGTTATCTTAGAAGCAGTGTGGACCAGCTGTCCAGCGGTTTCTTCTCCTGAGAGACGTTCCCAAACCAGACCGGCACCAAAAAACTTAACACGCTCTCAGCTGTTCTCCTGTAAAAATTGACCATATCTCCCTGAGACACAGGAAACTCGGTATTACACAAGCAGAGCTTAATTACTGTCGTTAATGGTGATGGTTATTTTCTAGTGTGATTTATTTTGTCCCTTTTTTCTCTCACATCCAGGATAGTGTGCTAAACATCATAAACCAAATCATGGATGAATGTATCCCTGCCGACCGGGCGAACCGAGACTTCTGTGTGAAGTTCCCTGAGGAGATCAGACACGAGAACCTGGGGGGGCAGCTGTGGTTTGGGGCCGAGGTAAGGCTGTTCTTCTTCAGTGTGGTAATCCATGACCGTCTGGGTCCCGTGAGCTAAGTGGGAGAACGGGACACCTACAGTATGCATTTGCCAGCGACTAGATAAACCATAACCTCAAACATTTAATTGGAGCCACATGAATAAAACCACAAGAAAGTACCTGGAAAAGCTAAGGTTTCTGCTGGAAGAGGTGTTAGTGAGGCCAATAGGGGGCACTTAGTCTGTGGTCTGAGTGGCTACAAATGCCCCAGTACAGTGATGGGAACACTATAGTGTAAAAAAGGTGTCTTCCTTTGGGTGAGACGGAAACCGAGGTCCTGACTCTCTGTGGCCATTAAAAATCCCAGGTTTCTCGAAAAGAGTAGGGGTGTAACCCCGGTATCCTGGCCAAATTTCCAGCTGGCCTTTACCCATCATGGCCTCCTAATAACCCCCCTCTATGAATTGGCTACATTACTCTGCTCTCCTCCCCACTGAGAGCTGATGTGTGGGGAGCGTTCTGGCGCACTATGGCTGCCGTCGCATCATCCAGGTGGGGCTGCACACTGGTGGTGGTGGAGGGGAGATACCATGACCTGTAAAGCTCTTTTAGTGGAGTGTCCTGAAAAGCACTATACTGTATAAATTATTATTAAAAACTGTCGAAATAATAATAATAATTTGCATCAAGTCTCCTCAGAGGAAAAGTCTTCTCTGTTCCAGCCTAAAAAGATTAAGTTCTTTCAGTCTGTCAGTCTGTCTTTTAAGAAGTGGAATGTATCAACACCACTCACCCTGAGCACTGGAACCCCACAAGGCTGCTGTCTGAGTCCAAGGTTGTACTCCCTATTTACTCACGACTGCACAGCAAGACACAGCAATAACCGCATCATCAAGTTTGCCGATGACACCACTATAATAGGACTGATCAGTGATGATGACGAGTCCACTTACAGGGATGAAGTTGTACAGCTGCTTAGGTGGTGTCATAGCAATAACCTGGACTTGAACATAAAGAAAACGAAAGAGCTAATAGTGGACTTTCGGAGACACAGGCCACACACTCACAGCCCACTCAGTATTGATGGAACGGAAGTGGAAACAGTCACCAGCTTTAGGTTTTTGGGAATTCACATCTCTAAAGATCTAACCTGGACTGTGAACACTGACTCTATCATGAAGAAGGCTCAGCAGCGCCTTTATTTCTTGAGGTGCCTCAAGCGATGGGGGATGCCAATACATGTGTTGGTGAACTTCTACCGCTGCACTATCGAGAGCGTCCTCACCAACGGGATCACCGTGTGGTATGGCAACACCTCTTCGCGAGAAAGAAAGGCACTGCAGAGAATGGTCAATATGGCCCAGAAGATCATTGGCTGCGGTCTCACCGAGATTAAACAGCTCTATGAGGACCGCTGCCATGGTAGAATTCTGGCCATCACAGAGGACAGTCACCACCCAGGGCATGAGCTCTTCACCCCACTGCCCTCAGGCAAGAGATATAAGAGCATACGGACACTTACCACTAGATTCTTCAACAGCTTCTATGCACAAGCAGTGAGACTGGCGAACACATTTAGCCATCCCCCTCGGACCACACCCACACCATCACCATGTACCTCATTGTAATTTATTTATTGTACGTCTCCAGTCATTGTTTACACGTCTGTATTGTTTACATTCAAACTGCCTGCATGTTTACTTGCACATTGTCTATTGTTTGTTTGTACATTGTCTTGATGCACTGTTTGCACTTTGTTTTGTTTTTTTACACTTGTTTTACAATCGAGAGACTTTCTGTAAGTAAGAATTCCATTGTACCAGTACATATGGCAATAAAGTTCAAGTTCAAGTTCAAGTTCAAGTATCTAGTTGCTCACTGCCAGACTGATTCCACAGCAGCAATATATTTTTTTAGTAACAAGGTGTCAAAATTTATTCACAAAATTCTTCAGAGTCTATGCATTGATATAAATTAAGAACTGCAGTGGTTCTAACAGAGATGACTGTGGTACTCCACTAATTACTTTATTACCCCAAGTTTAACATTTGCTCCTTAATTAGGATTTAAAGTTAGTACTTATGAATATATTTTCCTCGTATTAACATTGTTGACAAATGGGGAGAAACCTGTACTGCTATTAGGCCACCAGCAGTATTTGACTGTCTCCTCAGCCCCCTGTGACACAGGCAACTCTTCTCATAATGGCCAGTAAAGAGGTGCCATGGAGACCCACTGTACAGAACCTTGTGTAATAATAATAATAATAATAATAATAATAATAATAATAATAATAATAATAATAATAATAAGGCCATCTACTATTTTTATGACATTTCATATCGATTTGAATTCCTGTTCGAATTTCAGTTTTCAAAAAGGCTGTGGGGAGATCCATTTCTGAGCTTTCTTTCTATGTATAGCAAATCCACACTGATGCTGGCATGAGACTGAACAAATTGGGCATCATGTGTCTATCGTGAGCAGTGCAGTCCTGAACCATATCCGTTTAAAACCTGTTATAATCGTTGTCTCCTGTCAGAGAGAGGCCGAGACACACTTCACCATCCTCGCAAGCTCAGAGCAGACACCCACACTTGGGAATCAGAAATCAGCCATACAAATCTGATTATCTCTGATTTGGGGACCCTAAGGTTTCGGCAATTAAGCGATGGTTTGTTAAGGTCAGGTGTGTTTATTAAGATATCTAACAGTGAACAGTTTTCCTCTGTCAGGCGAATTAATTCTTCCAGGAGGTAAAGAAGCAAGTCTTCCATTCGAGGTAGGGAATCCCTCAGAACAAGGCTCACGGGCACAAGATGTATGAGACCCGCTTACTTATCTTGCTGGGAGCTGTGGCTGGGGGTCTGTTTCCAGTCGTGTCTGAACTCCAGTGTAACTGCCACACATCGTGCTGTGCTTCTGTTTTAAAACTTGGAAAGTTCAAGGTAAATAATTCAAAGGAAAATAGGTTTGCTGAGGAAGAACTGGATGTGTGGCAGTCAGTAACCCCCGAGTGACCTGACCCCACTCAAAGACATGTTAAGATTTGAAGTGTTTTGTCTTCTTTTATATTCCTCATTTATACTCGAGTCTTAAAGGCAGATAGGAATAAGCATTCACTCCCGTAACCCTGCTGTATTAAAGTGTCCCCTTCTGCCCAGACAGAATATAAAAGCACAGATACTCTATTTGCCATGTCCCAGACAGCGACTCAGTTCCACACTGCAGCCATAGTCAAACACCGCCGGCACGCGCGCGCATTCCAGACAGAGCAGCAGATGCAGCAGTGTGGAAACCTTTCCGTGGCTGGAACTTGACGTGCTTATATTTGCCTGTAGCATCTAGTAGATGAAAGAAGCTGAAACAAATGGCAGCTGGGCTGCAACAGATCAGAAGTGACGGGCTTCTGTCCGGGGGTCCGTTCAGTACACTGGGAGTTGTTAGGTACTGCACATTGGTGTGTCCAGGTTTACCACAAGACATCCTTGGCTGTTCATCAGCCCCTCTGTGATACACAGGCTGATGGTAGCAGATACAGTTGCAGCTGCCTTTTTATTTTTCAGAAAACCTGTTATTTTGTCGATCCGGTGCATATCCACTGCCGCCCTGATTGCTTCCGACCTGTGTTGCTGATCGGCTCGCGTGTCTGTGCTTCCTAACTCCCTCTCTCTCTCTCCGGTCTGGCCAGTGCCTGGCGGCCGGCTCCATCATCATGAACCGGGAGATCGAGAGCATGGCCATGAGGCCCCTGGCCAAGGACCTGACGCGCAGCCTGGAGGAGGTGCGGACCATCACCCGCGACCAGGCCCTGCGAGACCTCAACACCTACACCGACAAGATGAAGGAGGCCCTGCGGCACTTCGACAGCCTGTTCGCCGAGTTTGAGCTCAGGTCAGAGGCAGGGGGAGGGAAAGGGCAGAGAGAGCAGCACTGAGAGCGAGCACAGAGACCAGCAGGCTCCTTATTTAGCCTCTGATCCTCAATTGAAATCTTTTTATTTCTTCATTACGTAAATGAAATCATAGCAGGTGAGAGAGGCCGATATAGCAAGCACCTCGGAGCTGTTAGTCAGCTCCAGGTCTGGGTCTGCTGGCACTGACTCCAGCATGTGTCACTCAGGCTCCGAGCACTTCCTGTGTGAAACAGAAAGGTTTAATCACTTGGCCCCCGCTGAGCCAGACAGATATATATTTTACTGTCATCAGCACTGCTTTGAAGTTTGGGGCATGGAATTATTGTATACTAAGCATCCACAGAAGCTTATCACAACTGCAGCAACTTTGCAAAGTTATTGTTGGGGAAATGTCCAATTTTTTGGCAGCAGACAGACTGACAATGACATGTTTAAATTCATTGTGCTGATTATTGTGTGTCACTGGCGAGCTTGATCAGCAGGGTCGTGACTTTGAATGTCACAGGCTGTCAGCAGTCACCGTGGGAAGTTGTACAGGGTGCACTGCTCTGCTTCAGCTGACAGATTCTGTCCTGTTCGACACTATCCTTTTCCTCTTGCACAGCCTGGATAAGAATGTGCCTGTTCACTGGTCTCTGAGCTCCAGATGTCACATATCATCCCCACTCATCATACAGATGTTGAATGGAGCTTAAGTTTGGCATGAAGTTCATCTCTGTCATAGCTATCAAATTCTCATCCCTCAAACTAGCCGCTGGTGCAGGAGCAGCATGAGGATGTGTGTTGTCCTGCTGGAATGTTGTCACATCAGGATGGGCAGGCATGAAGGCCAGCTGGGGAGATCCTGGGGCTTGATCCATGTAGTGTCGTGCAGCCTGGCTGCCTTCAATCCCCACAAGTAAAATTGGTACGACCCCTGGTCTCCCATACCGTGGCATGTCATTGACGGACTGTGTTTGGCTGTAATACCTTGACAGGTTTAATAATCCCCGTCTGTGACGTCTCCATACAGTAAATCACAGCGCGCTGATGTACTGTAGGTTACCCTCCAGCACAATGACACAGATGTGTTGATCTCTTGATAAGGGTGTATTGGTGCTTTTTATGTTTTCTTTCTTTCTCTTTCCAAGTGACATTCAATAAGTTTAAATCACTTGTGCCCAGTCCACCTTCTGGCAAGGACGTTTAGTATTTATGCAATAGTCAATGTCATCCTCATCATCAGGAATGAATGATTAATTCGATTCATGTGAAAAATATTTGATCAGTATTCTAAATTTCCAATAGCTGCATATTTTTTCTTGTTTTTAAAACTGAACCTTGTTTTATTTTTCTGGAAGCAAACATGCATCGAGTGATGCTTCTTCTGATGCCCATTGTATTTAATGATTTACTGATTGCAATAGACAGTTCTTAACGTGGAAGAAAAATATCGGCTTGACTTTTATATGTCTGACTTGTAACGCCATATGATTTATTAGCACTTCTATTCAGACAACATAAAGTGCAGTGCATTCAGTGATTCCTAAGGTGATAATTCTCCCTAGAAACCACTTGTCAAAGTGACCTTTAAAGATTTCTCAATAGTCTTTTCTTGTACTAGGGCTTCGGTGATAAAAAGCCATTTTGGTGTGTAATTTTTGAAAAACAAAACCGATTTAGCTTTTTCCTAAATAATACTAGTTATTGGAAGATACTGAATTTATTTTTTTGTGATCACGCTTCATGAGTCTTGTCTCCAAAATACACCGTGAGAGAGTGTTTCACAGACGCCCTTTTCCTCCTGGTGTAGCTCTTTAATAAATCACTTCCATAAACAGAGAAGGAAGGCAAATGCGGTCCGTTCCTATGGAAAAGAGCATTAACCTTCCTATCCGATCCCCTGTCCAGTGAGCGATCTAGTTTTTCTAGCCGCATGCATTAAGCTGTGTTTCTGACCTGTACAGGTCCAGTAGTGAAAAGGGATGGCACTCAAGTCACAGGCTCAGGACTAATTCCTCAGTGGTGCCAATTATTCATAACCCTTTTGACTTTCTCTCTTGTTAAACAGGTCAGGTCTCCTATTTTTTCAGACGTAGCCTACTTTAATTCCCCAAAGTAGAGATGTAGTACATTGTAGCCTATTTATTCTTATTTCTTGCATAAAAAGGAAACTTTTTTTAACAAGGTCTCCATACGGTACATAGCCAGCCAAGATTTCCCATTTAGTGAAAAGAGATACTGCCCAGCTTAGGGCTGCTGCTCAGGAGGGGACTGTGACAGTTAAAGTGGTACAGGAGATCCAGCTGTTGAAAGTTCCCTTGTACGTGTTGTGCTTTGGCTCAAGTGAATCAGACATAGAGCTGAGCAATGTCAATAACTTCTGAACTGCAGCACTGTGGTCAGGGTCTCGGATTTGTAACTGGAAGGTTGTGGGTTCAAATCCCAGGAGAGACACTGCTGTTGTCCCCTTGATCAAGATATTTTGCCCATATTGTTCCTGTAAAATACCCAGCTGTATAAGTGGGTGCAAAAGTAAATGTTATTGTCTGTTTAAATCACTATGAAAGCACTCTGAGCACTCTCAGACAACTTGTTATGAGGAGCTCTATGTAAAAATAAACTGAATTTAAATGCTCGTTACTTTGGATAAAATGGCAGCTATATTGTAGTGATAATTAGTAATAAATTGAGTTTATTGCGCTTTGGGGCTCAGATGATGATTGCACTCACTGCAATCTAGGAACATTTGCTAAGGTTCTGGCTTTCAGTGAGTGCAAGGTGATGGCTTTCCTGTGTTGCCCATCATCTGCTGGTTTCATGTGAAAGAGAGGTGCCCGTTCTAAATGTTTGCGTAACAGATGGGAAAAGCCACCTGAAATGTTAGCGATAAGTCTCTTCCCTGGCTTTATGAAACATGTGACACACCAGGTCAAGGGCAGACTAGGAGATAAACACAGACAATGACATTAACCAGCTCTCTTTGGAGTCCTCTGCACAGCAGTGTTTTGACCATAGTTACTGTACTTCTGTGCTGGCTACATTAACTCTACATTCCCGACTGAGGAATCATGAGTTGTGAGTTTGTAAAGGTAGGTTGTTCTGTGTTTTAGCCACAGTGGTCTATACGTCGGGAGCTCTTCCTTTTTTCCATTACATGAAAGCTAACAGGAAGCACATGACTACTTCCTGAATAGTACTTTACTCGATTGCAGAGCCACAACCCCAGCAGAGCTGGTCCCCTTTCATACAGCTGGGTGGACTGGAGCAAACAGGGAAACGTGCCTCTCTCAAGGTACAACAGCAGTGTCTGAAACCCTCACCCTGCTAGTTCTGAGCCCAGTGACTTACCCACTGCACCACACCACCCCTATGCACCTGAAGGGCGAAACCAAGTGAAAATAACACCCAGATTGCAGTGAACAGTTGAACAAAGGCTAATTCAGGACCAAGTTTTTTAACTGTGACCTGTTCCATGAATTACCATGACAGCAGAACCTATGACCCAGAGGGGAGGTGAACCCACATATTGGTGTGTTTCGGTCCTGTTTACCATCAGCGCTGATCTCCGGACTTCTCTCCCTCTTTAGTTATGTGTCGGCCATGGTACCTGTAAAGTCCCCAAAGGAGTACTACGTACAGCAGGAAGTGATCGTGCTGTTCTGCGAGACGGTGGAGAGGTAAGGGGAGAAGAGACTGGAGAGACCAACCATGGGATTAAAGGGTGAATCACAGATGGCACTGCGGTGGTCACAGAGCTGGCAGCTGTGCTTCTCCTGCCTGTGCTGTCAATATTTGGGAAAGGGGCAGCTGTTTCTGTGCACCAAAGGGTTGTGGGAGTCTGGAACAAGCTGTCCAGCCGTGTTGAAGTCAATACCCTGGCTTCTTTCAACAAACTGCTGGATGAGATTCTTGGATCAATTAACTACTAACTACCAAATGTGCTTGATGGACCGAACGGACTCCTCTTGTTTGGAACCGTATGTTCTTCTTAAAGCTGGTGTCGGCAGGTCCTTTAATAACCCTGTGTTTGTCTGGATGATTTCCTAGGGCCCTGAAGCTTGGTTACCTCACTCAAGACATGATTGACGACTATGAACCTGCACTGATGTTTACAATTCCAAGACTAGCCATCGTATGGTGAGTACTGAAGCATGTACTGACTTTAAAGAAAATATCAAGGGGTGGAGAAGTATCCATTTTAACCGTATTTCACTGGGGATCAGAAAGTAAACACACAAGGGAAAGTGTATATTTGGTAAAACTCACTCTCCTTTGTGCTAGCGTGCGTTTTTGAGTCAGGTTAAACAAGAACTAGTGTTTCTAACAGCATTGTATAAAATCTAATATCATTCTTTAAGAAATTAAAATGTGATAATCTTGAAAGATTCTCTGCTACTCTAAGGACAAACCAGAGCTGCAGCAGAATTGCAGAGTCTTGCATTAGAACATGTCTGAATGCTTGCTGTTCTGAAGAAACTGTGGCAAGCTTTACTTGTCTGTAGGAATTCTATAATTTAGTTACACAGGAGCCAGCGCTGTTGTCTGTGAGAGTGGGCATGTCTGAATATAGATATCAGTGTGCATATGTGGGTGTAGAGTATTGGAATTAAGTAATGCAAAGTGGGCAATGCAAATTCTGCATTGTAAATTATTTTTTTTATTTATAAATGAAATGTTCCCTAATGTAGTATTGAAATACTTGCTTACACAAAATAAGTGTGTTTGGGCATGTGCTGACCTCTCCGTGTTTGCATCTGAGGGTGGGTTTTTACATGCAAACGTTGCAGGACACTCAGAACTTTTCTCCTTTCTCTCTCTCTCAGCGGACTGGTAGTTTACTCAGAAGGGCCCCTTAATCTGGACCGGAAGGCAGAGGACATGTCAGAGCTCTTCAGACCTTTCCGCACTTTACTGAGGAAGATCAGGTGGGCTTGTCCAGACCACACCCCTTCCCTCCCACAGCCCCTACACCAGCCCTGTCCAGTCCGGGTTGTCATTCCAGCTTGGATCTGAGCAAGCTGAGCCAGCCGCTCACTGGTTTAACTGGACCGATTTAACAGCTTCTCCCAGCACGTTTAAAGCCACCTGATTACCTGCATACCGGCCGTCTAGGACCTGGGCTGGACACGCTTCTCCTCACCTTAGGCCTGGTTATTTAGATTTCTCTTCCCTGATGTGAAAGCACCAGGATGCTTAGTTGATCCAGGTTTAGTTTGAGCCCTTGTCAGGTTTGCACAGCTGTCTGTCAGGGGACCAGCAGGACAGTGCTGATGCTGATCAGCTAGGGGAAAGGACCAAGAGTGATAGGAGTGACAGGATGGCCACAGTCTACAGTGGGCAATAGGTACTGGAGCACAATGTGGAGATTTTCACATTTTACTGGCATCAGGTGATGGAATACACTACTGGAGGTCAATGAGAAAGCATCATACAGTAATATTCTACGAAAGAAAGAGAAGAGTGGCAGAATCACACCGTTGCTCAGCGAGACACACAGCCGCCCCCTCAGGCTTGTCTGTCCCTGTTGCTTGTCAGTCGTAAGCCTGTAGGAGCGCGTGGCTCAGTCCAGTCAGGGCTCTAGCTGTCACAGCTGCATGAGCACGCAGGGGCCAATGTCATGGCCCTGCATTACTCCTCAAAACCACGGTTTGCCTGGTTCAGCTTTCATTTTGCCAAGAGGTGCTATTACTTTTCCCTGTGTTTTTGTCCCATGTCGGACAGAAAACTCTTGGATGGGGGTGTTGTGGTTCAAAGCAGGAAACATAAGTGAGAAAACTTACAATTTAATTTTTATTAAAATTGTATTTTTATTTTTGTGGACTCGGGTATTTTCAGTCATTATTGTGTATGTGTACTGTAGTTATACAGTAATACATTGAGTATTCATTCATGAGGATATGATCTCTTGTAAATTCTGTATGTTATAATGGTGCTTACAAAGATGTCCAGGCATTACAAATATCAGTTCTGGTACACAGGCAAACTAAAGACATCTGAGTTAAAGTACTTTTCTCCAAAATATACCTGGTAGTACCTACTTCAGTTTCATTATTTTATATTCTATTGAAAGGTTCTGTGTAAATATTCTAACAGAAAAAATGTATACTGGATGATTCAGTAGTCCTATAATTTGGCTTGTTTGGTGATGGGCTATTTTTCAGATGAGGCTATTTATTTGTCTTTCTTTAACAAGCATACTGCAAGAAACAGAACGCACAAGTGCCCAGCTGTTGCACGACCACTCTCCCTGTTAAAAGGTTCTTTATGTTTCAATTACAGATCGCTATCTTATCATTAGCAGCCCGAGCTTTCTTAGATTAAGGCTAATCTGTAGATTCTAGTCTGTTTGAGAGTCCTGACTCCTGTGAAGAGATCACCGCCTCAGTCTGTTTAGTTTAATTGCTGGTGATACCACTCGCTGCCTCACGTCACATCCAATTAGCCTTCCCTCGTTGTGACAGGTGGCAGAGGCCTGCTGCACTAGTCTCGTGCGTCGGCGGCTTTTCCAGTTGGTTTGGGTCCTCACTTTTTTTCTCCTATTCCGGTGTTAGACCTTTTTTTTTTAGATTTTATTCTTTGTCAAAGGTGCAGTCTGAAAGGGAATGAGGGAGTAGGGTGTTTTCCACTGTGCGGCCTCACCCACTGACAGGGCAGGAGCTGTTCCCAGAATAACCTGCTCTAGGGCAGAGTGCATCTGGGCATGGGGAAGGACACTACAGCAGTAAGGTTCAGAGTTCACTACAGATCCCCTTTGATTTAGAGTTGTACAGCAATACAGCTGACTAATCGTGAGTGGAAGACAGGGGGCTTCTGTAAAACAGGCTTTTAACTGCAGTATTTTCATCATTTCAGATGAAATATCCCATGCACTTAATTGCAACATAGCAGGTGAATCTGTCATCTTAAACTTTTAATTTCTCACAATCCTGAAAGATGGACATAACACAGTCACATATGAAAACACCTACAGACGGCAATGAGCTATTCCAGTATTTCTGAGGTACACCCAATTCACTTGTGTTACACCTGGGTGAGCCGGAGCTCACAGCCCCTGGTCTCCATGGCGACTGGCCGCATTAGCACACTGAGTCAAACACCGCCCGGTGCCGTGAGAACGCGATCGGGTTGCTGTCCGTGCCACCTGCCCCCACTTAACGGGTAAATACCTCATCAGCGCCGGTTACTGAAGTCCTGCCCAGTCCACAGCCAGACGCTCTGTCATTGAGCTTCCTACTCGTAAATGGAAGGGCTCCTCGCAGTAACCAGCCTGCCGGTTATACACCCACTACTCCGCCTCGATCAGTCTGGCTCCCTGATCCCGGTTCCCGAGACAGAACCTGACAGCCAGCCAGATCCCCGTCTGTCTCCGCGGCGCTACACATCTGCAGGCGGCGTCCTTAGGAACCAACCAGATCTGCTTGGCTGTGCAGCTTCCCTGTTCTGTTCTGCTAGTCAGCCCAGTACATCCCCAGTTCTCGCCTGTCTGCTTGCCTTCACTGGCACCTAGCGAGCAGGTTCCTCATCCTGTCAAACAGACACAGCGCTCTGCAGGTCAGTGTCACGGTGTAACAGCTTACGCACAAATGTCCCCACAGAGGTACCTGTACTACTGCATCACTCCAGTACTGCAGTAAGTATTTCTGCAATTTCATTTCACTCCTGGGAATAATAAGGAGAGGGGGTACAGTCCTTTTTTCATGTCCTACCTTTTTCTATGGCACATAGAACTGTTACCTCTAAACACCTACTTGTACTGCCATCTCACTAAAGAAGCCACTTCTTTTGTTCCATTTTGAAGCTTTCATATAGCACCTTATTAGCCATCTCTGTCCTGATGTTTCTGAATGTTACTGAATCATATGAAATAAACAGAGTTTCTTTACGTGCTCTTATTAATACCCTTCAATCTGAAAAGGCTTTGTGACGACGTAATTCTACAATCAGTTACTCTGTACTGTATATGTCTTCATCTGAAAGATGTGTTCTGGAGTAATGCACTGATGTTTGACTCAGCTTTTCAGAAAAACAAAAGGCTTTTTAAATTTGAATTTAGCACCCCTGTAGCCTATCACACCTGAGGCTCTGTTAACCCTGTGTCCCTGCTTGTCCACAGAGACCTGCTGCAGACGCTGACTGAAGATGAGCTCTTCACACTGGAACGCAGTCTCTGCATCTCCCAGGATGGGGAATTCCCAGCAGTGCCAACCCTTCCAGAGGTGGCGGTGCCCCCGCCAGCTGTGGTAAACCCTGTCCCCACACCTCTCGCCCCTCCTGCTGTGCCCAAGGTGCCGTTGCAGCAGGAGGTGCCTCCCTCCGGTCCCAGCGCCCCAGGGAAGGAGCAGCAGCAGTCCGAGCAGGTGGAAGACGCCGATCCGGAGCTGGCCTGCTCCATGCAGTACGACGAGCAGGAACTCGAGCAGCTCAACATGATGGTGCACCGCGTGGGCGACGAGATGTCCAGCCTGCTCTCCCCACCCAGCCTGTGTCAGTCTCCCGCGCGCCGCGGGGCCTGCAGTGGCAGTTCCAGCACAGAGGCGTCGCCGCGCCGGGGCCCAGCGGGGCGGGCAGGGGTGGACCAGGGAGAGGAGGACCGGGTCTTCTTCATGGAGGATCTGGACGGGGCGGGGGAGGCGCTGGCCGGGATTGAGGACTCCCCGTCTCTTGCCTGGGGGGGAGCCTCCTGCCCGTCAGAGCCGGTACCCCCCGGGCCCGCCCTCCAGCGGAGCCCCGTGCAGAACGGCTGGCCCGGAGGCGGCTCCTCCGTGGTAGAGGCTGCACTCCGCCAGAGCCAGAGCTGCCAGAGCCCCGACAAACCTGGGCTCGCCGGCGCCCCCTGCCCCGGCCCTGAGGCGCCTGAGCCTCCTGCCTGCCTGAACGGCTGGGAGGCCGGCTCCGAGGACGCGGAGACGGCGGAAATGATCGCCCATCGCACGGGCGGCATGAAGCTGTCCGCCACCGTTATCTTCAACCCCAAATCGCCCAGCCTGTCCGACGTGACTGTGGAGGCTGCTGCCGATAAGCTCCTGCTGCTGCCTCAGGAGCCCGAGCCTGCCTCCCCGGGGCCCCAGAAGCTGAGCGGCCTGGTCGCCACCCACTGCTTGCTCAACTCCTGCGTGTGCTGTGGGAGCTGCGAGGACAGCCGGGAGGACGGGCTGGAGGCCTCGGGGGACAAGGGGAAGTGCACCCCGCCCAGCCCCGTCATCCACACCTCCGGCAGCCTGGCACCAAGCAAGGACACCGCCACCGCCGCCGCCACCACTGGTATAGCGGACTCCTCCGGCCCGCTGGACGCCGCAGAGGCTGACAGTCGACTGGAGCAGAGGAGTCTGCGCTGCGTGAGGTGCCTGGACCAGGCCTCGGGGACGCAGGCCGCCCCCGACAGAACCCCGCTGGGCGACGCAGGGGCCTGCAGCCACCAGAGACGAGCAGAGAGACCGAGGCAGGCCGGTGCGGGCCATGACGGGAGGACACAGCCAGCAGGGGGCGAGAGAGAGCTGGAGGACGATGGAAACCTGGACAGCAGGTCCAGATCTAGGTAAGGCCTCGTGGGTTATGCAAGGCGAGTGGGCGTGCATGAGTGAATGCAGATACAGAAAGAGATAGCCAAGATTTCCAGACAGAGGGACGGGGCTGCTGTGGTCAGGGTTCTGGATTTGTTCTAGAATTGAATGGCGGTGGGTTTACCTTCCAGGTGAGACACTGCTTCTGTACTCTTGAGCAAGGTACAATCCTGAGGCTCTTCAAAACTTTCAAATCCTCAAAATCTCTTTCATAAACTCACAGTTTCTTACGTCCATGGTCCACCCTTATTCCTCTGATGAAAAGGCACACAGAAGTTCTTCCTCCTGTCTTCTAGGCTGCAGATATCACCCCAGCTGACTGACCCAGAAAGCCTTCCGCTTCCTGCTTTTTAAACAGCCACCTGACCAGCTGTGTTCCTGCAACTGATCAGGTGACTGGGAGCTGCAGCTCGGTCTCCCAGAGGTTTCTGGGAAATGTGGTCCAGTTGCTCTGCTGCAACAACATCAAAGCTCCTGGGAAGATTGCAGGAGACAGGGGGAACAATGTACACATTAAATTAAATCTGACTGTTCTGCCATTTATCAGTCTTATACCTTCTAGAGGTAAAATGAATGCATCAACTGTAATGTAGCCCAAGGCATGGGATCTCAGTTGCATGCAAACTAGGGACCTAGTTGAAAAGGTGGAAGAGGCAAGGAGCCATATTGATTAGAAAAGGGGGCAAGCTGGAGTGGGACAGATAGGAATTGTCAAACACTGGCCTGTCAGCGCTGAAGATTGCAATTTCATGTGGTTCCTGGTGCTGGAAACATTCAGATATCTTTAGCTTCCAGCTCAAGAGCCAATGATGCCTGTGCAGAATTTCTGCAGAGATCAGGCTGCTCACCTGTGGACGTACCATTGAGTACCCATACAGTACTCTTGGCCAGAGCCTGTGTCAGTGGGAGAAGTGGAACTGCTGCAGTCTTATAAAGAGAAACATTGCAGCACACTAGTGCCTTTTGGGCAAAGCAGAAGGAGGCTAGGTGGCATGGGGGTTAGTTCTGTGGCCTCACAGCTCTTGGTTTCTATACTCTAGTATTGGGGTGTCATCTGTGTGGGGTTTGCATGTTCTCCTCCTATTCACATGGGTCTTTTCCAGGTTCTCTGTTTTCCGCTGAAATTCGAATGCCATGCTCACTCAGTTAATTGGTGTCTCTCAATTGTCCCTGAGTGTACTGTATGTGTGCGCTCTACGGAGCTGTCCTGGCTTATGCCCTGTACTACCAGTGTAAGCTCTGGGTTTCCAGGAGTAGCAGGCTTTCTGCTAATGGATGGCGAAACAGGAGGTCTTGCTCTGCATGCCTGGCTGTGTGGGCTACGTTAAGGGTAGCTGCATTGACTGCACATTCTGCAAAGGTGGAATCCAAAAGACGAGTCATGAGTGTGAGCATGAAAACCACACAAGCATTGGTGTAACAGGGCTCAGTCCAACCCAATCTGAAACCTAGACAGCTGGAGCTCTTCCATGGAAGAGGAGCTGTTCTGTTGACGTGGGGGAGTTATCTGCTGTCTAAGGAGTCATGCTGTGTGTGCTCGGAGCCCGCAAGTAACTGGGATAGAATCCCAAGAGCATCTGGGAGAGCTGCCTCCGTCACGTGCATATATTGACTAATTTTTACCTTGTTACTACATGACTTTCAACTGACAGGTGTACCAGTCTAATAAAAAAGAATTTGACAGGGAAATCCTGTGTAAATTCCCAGTGCATTCTTTCCAGAAGCAGGGAGGGCACAGCAATCAAAAACAGAAAGACGTATTCTTGGTTAACCTCGGTAATAATATATAATGTTTTTTTAAGTAATTATTTCTAAAATGTATGTAAATATTTGCTAGCCTGTTTTCACAAATGTGCTCTGTCTGGCACAGAGCCCAGAACAGAAGGGCTTCAGTTCTCAGTGCAGTATGTAATTAAGTCCAGTCTCTTGACAAAATCAATGCAAAACCATCAATTTGGAAAAGAAATCTGCTCTTCTCACCGGCACAGCACAATCAGAAATGGGTAGAATGTACCTCCCAGAAATGTGTCTTCAAAAAAATTTGTAATTGAAAACTGTCTTGTCATTCTCTCTAGACAAATTAAACAAGATATACTTTCTACTGCCTAATTAAATGTAGGGTTCTGTAAAACTGTAACACTTTGACAGCACTTGAAGTTTCTGTTTGCTGGATTTGCCTGTTCAGAGTGTTCTAGAGACCTTGTGATTCATTTTCTGTCATCTTTAAGCTGTCCGTGCCAAAACCAGAGTGCTGCTTTCAGCCTATTGGTGCTCACATAACAGGCTTCCCTTGGGAATCTCTGCAGACAACACTAACTGACAAGGCTAACCAATTACAAAGAGAAATATCTTCACAGTGCATTTATAATTGAACTTAAGATGTGAAAACCCCTAAGAAAAATGTTCTCGCTTGCTCAAATCTTTGAGTACAACTGCTCCTTCAGCTTCTTGTAGTTCTCCACTATAATTATTTAAAAAAGGAAATGGCAGTCTCAGGTAGACCATTTCCTTACATTTACTGAAGAGACTTTAGTCCCATATTCCCACCAAAAACCAAAGAAGTACTGGCTGGTATTCAGTACAGTTCACCAGCTAAGATGCATCAGCACAGTCATGTTCAGAGGCAGGGAAGAACCCAGTACAGTACAGTCAAACTGTGGAGCCTATCCTACATGGCTCACAAACAGCCATTTCCTGATCTTCATTTCCCTTTCTCACAACACAGACCTTTATGCACGGTTAAGTCTTGGAACTGTGAGTACATACCAGACTGCAGCTGCATTAGGACCTGCATTAAAGTCTAAAGTGCATCACAGGTCCTTCTGAACTGACATGCCTTGCGCATTACTGCTCTGTGCCATCAGAGTGGCCCAAGCGCTCAATAAAGTGCCCAAAGCCAGGAATGGTTCGACATTTAATTTGGAAGCTCTGCGTAGCCTTCATGAGTCATTCACGAGTATTTCTCGTTTCGTTTGAAATCACAGATGATATAATGACAGGAAGAGTCAGATTTTTAATTACAGCCCTGTTGGATGGAAGACAGTGTATCCCTATTTTCAAAACACAAAGCCCTTCATCTGTCACAGCCTTAGCATCAAACGATAAAAAAAGCTCATGTGTTCGAAAATGTTCAATTGATGAATTATAGACCCTCCCAAGACAAAAATGTAAGAATGTAAAAAAAGAACCAATAAAACAGGCAGTTGGGTGTAGTCACTCGCGTCTCTAGACAAGTGTTGGAGTCTGAAGCCGTTTTGGCCCCAGGGGTGGTTTTGACAGTTTAAACTGTCTTTCCCATCCCATTCTTGCATAATGAATGTAGTTTAGGAAGTTCAAAAATTTTTAATAAGCCCACTGAGCTGCAGCCTTCCCTGAGATTCCTTTCACGGTGTCTGCCAGTGCAGTGTTGCACGGATATGATGTTCCAAAGAATGAGCTAATTTTCAGGCCCTTCACATTGGTTATGTTCTGCTTGCCTGACTGAGGTGAGGAGTGCCAAACCCAATTATGTGGCAAGACAAATGGAATTTAGAGGAAAATATCTCTCTTCTTGCCCCTAACAAAAGAAAAAAATCTGAAACCTAACAAAGGATCTAGGCTCCGAGAGCACGTTGTGTCCTTTCCTTATAGTCTGTTTGTAAGTATTGTTTGTGCTCCTATGAGAACACGAAGCCTGCAGCATAAGGACAGAAAAAAGAACTGTGTTTAGAGCTCTAATTATATGACAGCACAGAAAGAGATGCATGTAAAATGGTTTATGCTCCTCTGACTACTCAATTAGTGTAGATGAACCACTAAAGGAAAATATATTTTTCAATTTCCAGTAGAATAGCGCCATTCCTGGAGTGCTCTGGTTTCTCACAACAAAAACAGTGGCTGCTGGAAGACTGTCTAGCCTACTGTGGCACAGCAGTCTCTCTCCTGAGCCTAGCGAAAGGCCTCTTTCTCTGGGCCTCAGTGCACTGGTGCCCACAGGGGGATCTTCTCCAGCGAGGGGCAGGGTTCGGGAAAAAGCAGATCTAGTGGAGGTCATCTGCAGGTACTGCACTGTCCCTTTGGACACTGCTAGCAGTCCCTCAGTCGTCCATTTTTTAGCAGTTTGCGGCAACATAAGTTTTCATTTTTAAACCCAGTTTTCTATTTTGGCTCAGGAATCAAAGCGGTATATACAACTTGTTGTGAAATTATCTGAATTACAAAGATGTTGGTAAGCTAGGATGTATGTGGGATTCAGAGATTTCTCAAATGACTCACATAAAAGAGCACAATGACTCCCACCCATCAATGCTGTATTCATTCGATTCATTTGTGCATCTCTGTTTATGAATGGGGGTTGTCTGTAATGTTGATTTTATTAACCTGTTTGTGTTTTTGCATGTTCATTTGTTGTTTCTCTGCTAGCTGTTTGCCCACGTTTTGAAGATTGTGGATTATTTTCTGTTTCCCACCTGTTTTAGATTTTTCTTTGTTTTGTTGTTTTTTCTCCCTGTCATCTTCAGTTCTCAGGATTCATCTCTCAGCTCCATCTCCAGAAGTGACTGTGAGAGCGTATCCGTCACCACTTGTAGCCTGTCCAGCACATACACACCCAGGTAACCTCTGTCTGCAAGGCTACAAACACTCACAGAGGCTACATTAGCAAGCACTTTCCCTCTCTTTCCCTCCTTAGTGGGTGTCCTCATGCCCTCTTGACAGTATAACAGGGAAGGACAAGGCACAGGAATGAGAAATAAAAAAAGTTACATTGCTATTTTATGCTTGTTTAAAGGGAATACACATTTGCACAGTATGTTCTTCAATCTTAAGTGGGAATTCTCATTGTCACATAGCCAGATACAGTGTGAATAATACTCAGAAGGAGCCCTGACCAGCACACAGGTTGTGGTCTGCAACCAGGAGTTCAGTCCTGGGTGAAGTCATACGCTAGCTGTGACCAGGATTCTCCAAGCAGAAGCATGTTATTGGCACCACCAAGTGCGATGTGGGATTAGTAGTCTCGACTTTCTGTGACCCCTGTAGCTCAGATGAGAGACATGAAGGTGGGTGGGTCAGAGGAGTCCGCCTGCACTTTCTCACTCTGTGTGCAGTCATGGGGTTCACAGCTTTGAGCTGAGACATGAGAAACATAATCGCTATTCCACATCAGGAGGGTGCCCTCGAGTTCTTGGATGGAAAAAGAATGGTCTGATCTCACCGTGGTGTTACCGTTGGCAGTGCTATGGAGCCACACGGCAACTATCAGTGGGGAGGAGAATAGAGTGATTATTAGGAGGCCATGATTGGTAAGGGCCAATGGGAAGTTTGGTCAGGATGCTGGGGTATCACCCCTGCTCTTTTGGAGAAACGCCCTGGGATTTGTAATGAGCACAGAGAGTCAGAACCTCGGTTTTACGTCTCATCCGAAGGACGGTGCCTTTTTGCACTGTGATGTCCTCCTCACTACCCTGGGGCATTAGGACCCACACAGACCACAAGGTGAGCTGCTGGATAAAATGTATAATTTATAATATAGCTGCTGGAGATAAATCTATTGGTTGGATTTTCATATTTTGGCTCATGCTTTTCTTAGAAAGTATGATGCCATACACCAGCCTGATGCTTTTAGCCTTTCAGTGGCCAAAAATCAATCTACAACATCTTAGAAATTAACTTGAACTTGAACTTGAACTTTATTGCCATATGTAACCAGTACTGGTACAATGGAATTCTTACTTACAGAAAGTCTCTCGATTGTAAAACAAGTGTAAAAAAACAAAACAAAGTGCAAACAGTGCATCAAGACAATGTACAAACAAACAATAGACAATGTGCAAGTAAACATGTAGACAGTTTGAATGTAAACAATACAGACGTGTAAACAATGACTGGAGCCTTACGGATTTGCACACTGCTCAGAGTCTTCTCAGCTTTCTCTGTGTACCAATATCCCACTGTGAACTCCTTCAGAATTTTTTGATGTTCGAATCCAATCTTGACTGCTGCAGTTTTGATTATTGACCAAGCTCAGTCTGTTCTCACGCGGTCAATTACCCATCACGAAGAACATGAACTGCACTTCTTAGCCGCTTTTCTTCTGCAAGCTGCCCTGTTTGATTGGTTGGAGGAGAACGGTCTGGTCTCTGATCTGCAGATGCTGGACGGAGCATCAATGTCTGGGCTCTTGTATGCTTTGGAAGCTTGTGCAATGACCATAATCAAGCAAGACTCAATAAATTTGTCTCAAACCTTGCACAGGTACTGGCTTTTCTGTTAAGAGTTAGAGTTTCATGGAGTCACCTTAATTTTCACAATGCATTGAGCTCTTGGAGGTGATCTCCAGGTTCTCCAGACAATTTACCTCCACATCACATCCGTTGCATTTGCTGCAAGTTCAGAGCAGGGTGAACACAGGGAGATGCTCGTCTCATGATGGATGCATTCATCAGGTGTAAGAAGCCCACAGGTGCGTACACTTCTAAACAGTAAGACAGCCAAGCAGAGTTCCGGTGAGGGTTTGTGGCTCGGTAGTACCTCATTTCTTTCTTGCCTTTTACGCGCCTGAGCACCTGTGCCCACAGCTGTGCTTCATTGTCCATGTGGTTTACGTGGTCAGCTAGCTGCACATGTGTTGTCTGTGGTAGTTGTGTGGCTTCCAGAACCAGGACACAGCTGGGGGTAACACAAAAGAAAGGCTGACAGGGTGTTCTGTCAACAGCGGTCTCAGACTGAACACATCCCCTAAAGGTTATTGAGTGAAGGACCGTTGTGTTAAAATAACAAAGTGTCTTCTGCACACAATGACATACTGTTCTGTTACAAAGGTTCCACCCAGGGCATTATCTAGCCCACAGTTTTGCTGAAACTGCAGAGCATACGAATCGGATCCCCTGCTACTGTTGTTGCGTGTTTTGCCACATCTGTTTGCCTGCTGATGTTTTGCTGCAGGACATCTTTGTCATGATACGAGTAGGTGATATGAGCAGGCGTCACTGAGAGGAATGGTTTAGATACAGCCACACAGATAGAGATTATCACTTTGAGCATCTGAGCGCAGATAGAAAACCCTCCTATCAGATAGTACTGATGCACGAGGGCATAAGGAAAAAAAATGATTGCTTTTGGGAATTTATGTCAGAGGTGATTAATGTTGCAATGGGTCACGAGCGGGATTCTGAGAGACAGCAGTGCTAATCCAGAATGAGATCACTGAAGGTGTGGTACCAGTACGTGGGCAACATGTGGCTAAGGGGCTCTAACTGGGCATGTCTGAAAATTATGAGCTGTTGTAGTGATGCTTTCGCTGTCTAGGAGCCTAGGGCAGAGATGCAACAGGATTTCTGGAAGGGGGAATTTTAGGTTTATATAAATATCTAAAAAATACCTGACAATCAAACAGTTTGGAAAAAACAGGACAATATACTTTTTGGGCCTACGTCGCCCATTAGGTTGTTCGTATCTAATTGATCAGAGGATCTCACCTTGAAAGAAGCCAGGGAACTGGCTTTAATAACATGGCTGGCTTGCTTGTTCCACACTCCCACAACCCTTTGAGCTCGCGAAGGGTCTCCAGTCCTTGGCTGTAGTGCTCTTCCATTTGTCTTCTGATTTGTGTTTCACTGTTCATTCTGAAGAAGTCTGCTGGGATGTTTTTGTTGATGCCTTTGAAAACTTTGAATGTTTGCATCAGATCGCCTCACAGTCTTCTCTGTTCAAGACTAAAAAGGTTCGGTTCCTTGAGCCTGTTAGTGTAGGACAAAAGCCTCAAAATGTATGTTTGCTCTTCTCTGGTCTGATTTCAGACCAGCAATATCTTTTCTACAACATGTTGACCATGTTACTAAATTACCACAATATTCTAAATGAGGTCTTACTAGTGTGTTATACAATTATATTGTAACATGCTTTGTAAATGAACATTTTCAATGCCATATAATAAGATTTTTTAGTAGTTATTGAAAGTGAGAAGTTGTTCTCAAGCTGACTTTGCATGAAGATCATATTAAGTTGAATGAAAAATGAATAAAAAACATACCTGTGCATTCAAGCAGCCCCCTTACCTTGCCTCAGTGTTGTCACTTACAATCTCCAACATTTACCTGTCCTTACAGGTGCAGCTAGCTTAGATCATATCCTTGATTACTCAGGAGGTGAAGTGTCAGTCAAACTTCTTCCCAGCCCAGCTTGGCTGAATCATGCTTTAATTGCACACTAGCTCCATCCTGCCAGGAGTGCTGGCAAGAAAGGGGAGGTTATCTGTGTGTGTACTTGAGTTTGGAGCTGACAGCAATCTGACACGCTGTATGGGGCTTTTGAATGTCATTTCTTCATATGGACAATGGCTTCTGGATCGGCCACTAAGAGGAACGCTTCCTTTATGCTCTGCACCCCTTTTGAGAAATCGCATGAGTAACTTCCTTGCAGTGGACGCGATTTGAATTACTCCAGTTACATTTTTAAGTTTTGCTAATTTGGGGAATTTTTCGGTGAGATTAAGTCTTCTCTCTTACGGGAAGCAGACCCCAGGCCCAGCAGAGAACAATGTCAGTGGTCTCTGCCTGTCTGTTCATGTCCTCCATCTACCGAAGGGGTACAACTAGCTCAGTCTTTCAGGACATACAATGGAGTTTGCAAAAAACGCACCTGGCTGGACAAACACAACTTTTTGGTTGTTTGTGTTGAATTGGTGTGATCAAAATGCGCCCAATGTTTAACTGAGAACAGTCAGATGGGAAGTGTAAGGTCCCTGAAAGACACCATTAAGAGCGGGGTAATGGGAATATCACCATTCTCAGCACAGCGCAGTCCTGGTGAAAACACTTGCACGACTGCATCAGTACCAGGTGAAATCTCTTTTTGGTGTACACAGATGATCCTTAATGCAAACAGATAATTCTTCCTAGCTTATGTGTATAGAACTTGCTTTAAAAACTCTTTCACGTTAATCCATAGAAGTCTGTACCTCTTTTTTTCCTGGGGGTAAGCGGAAGTGTTTCGGGCACATTTTAGTGGTAGAAAAGGAAAATGTATCCTTTAAAACAGGATTCCATACTCTCTTTGCCCAAAGAGTTGTGGGAGTCTGGAACAAGCCACCCAGTCAGGTTTTTTAAAGACAATACCTTGGCTTCTTTCAAGAAACAGCTGGAGAGAATCCTTAAATTGGTGAACTAGTATCTATCATATGGGACCTCCTCTCATTTGTCATCTTTGTCATGTATTTTCTGTAGCTTATTCCTCAGTGTACATGTACAGTAGATAGCTTCTGGTGTTTTCCAGCATCCACCGATTTCCCTTTTTGATCCTTTCACAGTAACTGCAGTGAAACTGGAATAAATCACTAAGGATAGCTTCCAGTTACTGAGCAGGGTCATTCTCATAGCCCTCCCATTGCAGCTGTCCTGGAAAATTGAAATACAGCTTAAGTGAATGTTTTAATATAGCATTTTGGTCAAGATGTGTTTTAAATGAGGCTATTGATTAAAGTCCTCTGAGGATCATTACAGGCCTGTGGAAGAGCAGAGCTCAGCAGAAAGTGAAAAAAAAGCATTGGTTTCACACTTAATCTGCTGCTAGTTTAGTGGACGCTTCAAATTAAGTCTTATTATGCACACACTAT